TGTTCCCTTGGTATCTCTAATTTCCTTGAAGAGATCTCTAGTCTTTCCCATTCTATTGTTTTCCTCTATTTCTTTGCACTGATCACTGAGGAAGGCTTTATTTCTCCTTGCTATTCTTTGGAACTCTGCATTCATAACGGTATATCTTTCCTCTTCTCCTTTGTCTTTCACTACTCTTCTTTTCACAGCTATTTGTAAGGCCTCCTCAGACAACCATTCTGCCTTTTCGCATTTCTTTTTCTTGGGGATGGTCTTGATCACTGCCTCCTATACAATGTCACAAACCTCCACCCATAGTTCTTCAGGCACTCTATCAGATCTAATCCCTTGAATCTATTTGTCACTTCCACTAGGTAATACCTGAATGGTCTAGTGGTTTTCCCTACTTTCTTCAATTTAAGTCTGAATTTGGCAATAAGGAGTTCATGATCTGAGCCACAGTCCACTCCTGGTCCTGTTTCTGCTGACTGTGTAGAACTTCTCCACCTTTGGCTGCAAAGAATATAATCAATCTGATTTCAGTATTGACCATCTGGTGATGTCCATGTGTCGAGTCTTCTCTTGTGTTGTTGGAAGAGAGTGTTTGCTATGAGCAGTGTGTTCTCTTGGCAAAACTCCGAAATCCCTCTCAGTAGGTGTTATTACTGTCCATATTTTACAGATGAGGAACTGGAGACAAAGGTTCAGTGATGTCCTCAGAAACATAGCTAATAATTTCTGGGGCCAAGATCCACGTGCTCCTAACACTGTTCCTGTTATTCCCTTTCCCCAAATCCAGAGAAGTAGGTCGGAAGCAAATTAGGAAGCAAGAGATTGGAATAATACTGTAAAGCAGCTATTATACTTACCTAGAGGAAGATTATCCCTCTCCAAGAGAGTAAATAGTGTAAGAAAGATCTAGAAAAGCCCAATATTTGCAGGATCATTTAGAATTACACGTATCAAGAGCCCCTGAGAGCATTAATATATTCCATCATAAAATAACAGGTCCTTCTAAATGCCCTTATGTCAGTCAGTCATTCAACAACTCAACAAATTATCAGTGGAGCACCTAGCTATCCAATAGGGAAAACATCAAATTATGTTATCTTGCAGAAGACAAAGAAATTAAACATTTTAGGAAAAACTCATCACAAAATGCTTATAGCTTAAGGGAGAGCTTAAAATTTATGCAGTTTAAACTTCACTTATGTAGAAAATTTAACTACATGCAAATTTTAATATTGCAACAATGCTAGACAGTTGAATTTTATTTTTAGAAAAGCATAAGTTTCTTACTTAGTATAACAACAGAATAACATCTACAGAAAAAGTGATGTTATCTGAACTTAAATGCCTCTACTATCTTTCTAAAGAGTGTTAGAGGTAAAATAACACTTTCCCAAGGTTTCACTTATGATTTACTCTACTTGATCAGAAATGATTTAAAAGCATTTTCCTTACTGGGTTCGTAGCATTCTGTTTCCAAAGGTGCAATGCTCCGTGGAAAGCATGAGCGATGATCATGGAGCCATCTTCACTGAACTGGCAATCATAAAATCCCAGGGTATTGCCACCTACTTCTCCTACTCGAACCTACTCAACAATACACAGAAAACAAGTCATAACCAATTTCTCAAAACAGAAACCACCGATTCCAGAGATTAGGTTCTTACCTATTTAACATACACAAAGAGGGAACATCTGTAGCTCTAGGAACACAGACTTGGGATTTACTGCTTAATAAACTCATTTTTCTGTTCCTTAAATATTCACATTTTACCTGTTCTAGCCAAACTCCTGACTCTTCATCTGGAGCCCAGAGAATCATGGTTTTATCCATTGAGGCAGACAACAATCTCATTGGCTGTTGTAGGATACCATCTAAAGAAAAAAAAACAAACTACACTAAGTCCTCTAAATAAAAATACAAATTGCACACTTTCACAGAGGCAGTGTTCGCCATGTCCAGTCATGTAAGTTAGTTCACATGTCTAGCATACATTTGTCACCTGTATGCATCCTCTACAAGTGGTCATGCTTTTGTGTACTTTACAGCACTGTATAGAGTCCAGTGGTACAGTATCTTTATTTCAAGCTAGATTTGCAAGAGGTTCACTGAACTTCTTGGTGTGTGATTCGAGGCACTTTCTAATCAAGACCTCCAATGAAGAATTGGGAGGCCCAGAGAAAGGACAAAGAGAGAAGAGAGGAAAAAGAAACTGAAGAACTAAAGAGATTCATGACACAGGAAACGGCAAGACCATTTTATTTGAGGAGGTACTGTTGGTTTTTCAGGCACAGGACCTGAATGTAGACCAGTACACACGAAGGTTGCAGCAGCCATTCAGAATGCAATCCAGTACTACCTTGTCATCTATGACAAGAAAAGAAGAGCTGCTACCCAGACATCACTGGATCATTTTTTCAACAGGCTTAGATAGACTTGAATCCAGTAAAGAACCAATCCTTTGCCATCAACATCAGGTGTTGAGTGAAACTGCAGCCTGGCCTTCATCTTTTGACAAGCCTTCAGTTCTACCATCTCCCACCTCTTCTCCCTCCTCCTGTCAGTAACTCTTCTTGCCTGTTCACTCAATGCCAGTCCCTGTATGCAAGCTGTTGTGTTGCACTACCATACTTTTCAAGGTACAATGCTCTTAAAGATGTTTTATTACTTGTGTGAAAGTATTATACATTTATTACAGTACTATATAGCCAATTGTATTTAGCTAAAAAGGCAGGTTGTACAAGCACAAATGCATATTGATATCATTTTAACAGGTATAAAACAATTTTGTTTATGGTTACATAAATGTATAGTATAAAAGTATAAAAACTGCATGGGAATAATGTACACTGAATTCAGCCTTAAGGGAAGGATGGAGGGGGAAGGGTTCAGGAAACACTACACAGGGATCCCCAATATCTGTATCTAATTTATCTCTTACTTTAATTAATCACTTATTTTTGGCTGTGCTGGGTCTTCGTTGCTGCGCGGCTCTCTCTAGTTGCGGCGAGTAGGGGAGCGAGGGCCTCTCACTGCGGAGGCTTCTCTGGCTGTGGAACAAGCTCTAGGCGCACGGACTTTGGAGGCTCCAGTGCGTGGGCTCAGTTGGGGCTCTCGGACTCAGTAGTCGGGGCACACGGATTCAACTGCTCTGCAGCATGTGGAACTTTCAGGCCAGAAATCGAACCCAGGGCCCCTGCACTGGCAGGCAATTCTGATCCACTGTACCACCAGGGAAGTCCTGTGATATCTAATTTATCTTTTTTTCAACTGCAGCAAATATGACATAATATAATAAAAGCTGGGTGGTGTTACCTGAGCATTAATTCCTGCTGCTCTCTACTCTTGTCTTGGGGAAGGGGCTGGGAGAAGAAAATGGGGCTGCTGCCGCGCTCAGCTCTACACCTCAGTGCCAACTCGAACGGGCACACAATCATCACTCCATAAACAGAGGTTAAAGGCAAAAGACAGAAGGAAAATCTTTACTTAGTCATAAATGATGTAGCTTGGCATTACCAACTTCGTATTTCCAAGGGTAAAGGATCAAGTGAAGTTGACTTGAAAGTCAATTTCTCTTAAACCCCACAAGAACCAGGTAAAAACTTTAAAGATAAAAAGTTAAAAGCCATATGGCAGTTTTGGCATCAAAGCAGGAATCATGCTTTTCCCTCTTAGAAATACAATGAAATTGAAGAGCTAGCTGAACAGGTTACAGTATTATACTTTGCCCACATGAAAATGTCTAATACTTGAGATTTCTTTTCTTTAATCGTTTGTTTTGGCCGGGCTGGGTCTTCATTGTGGCACACTGGCTCTTCGCTGCTGTGCTAGGGCTTTCTCGAGCTGCAGCAAGCAGGGGCTTCTCTTGAGTTGTAGTGGGCAGGCTCCTCACTGCAGTGGCTTCTCTTGTTGCGGAGCACGGGACCTAGGGTGCGTGGGCTCAGCAGCTGTGGTTCACAGGTTAGTTGCCCTGTGACATGTGGGAACTCAGTTCCAGACCAGGGACTGAACCTGTGTCCCCTGCACTGGCAGGCAGACTCTTAATCCCTGGACCACAAGGGCAGTCCCTGATATCTCTAACTACACTCAAAAATATCCTCTACTTCACTTCGTCGGCTTAAAATTCTATCAGTCACATTTAATTGAAATGAGGGCTTTGTGTTTGATTTTCTTCCTACCTTTGTAAAATGAAGGCTGCCAATGAACTGCATTTACCCAGTTTTCATGACCAGCTAGTACAGTCTCCAGAGTAACCGCAAATGTTATTTTAATACCTACAACCAAAAAAAAAAAAAAAAGATTCCCACAAAGCTCTTTTTAAAAGGAACATTTTCATAACCAACTCAGTTGTATAATTACATTAAAAAAAAATAAGAACAGAACATGATTTAGATTCAACAAAAAACATTAATTCTAAATTTCATTAACTTTACTCCTTATTCAAAATTACAGGAGAAAAAAGATATATAAATTCTAAAGATGCATCAATTTTTCTTTATGTTTTGCCTACTTGGCTATAAATAAAAATTAAGGGATATATTCTATTTTAAATTTTCAGGGGCAGTGACTCTTACTCTATAATTAAAAAAAAAAAAAGGCATGCCGGCCTCCTTTGCTATCCTCACTCATTATGTGAAATAGTCTAAACTACCATTAAAAAGAGACAATATCCCTAAGATAAATGTAAAAATAAAGGAAGTCAAATCAGTATTGTGAACTTTTAAACAAAATAATTAATGAAAATATTACAAAAGTTTTCATATTTGGAAACAATATGCTTATAGTATTTCTTGGTTCTCTCCATAAATCTGTCACCAAATATCAACTCTAATGGGTGTTATAACCAAGAAGAGTAATGACAAAGAAGTATACTTCTGGATGAACAATGTTTAATAAGGATTAACATTATGATTTTCATATCCATAGAAAATTATCTCCTTTAAATACAACATTCCAACAGAACCTACCATGGAGGGGTACTGTTCTGATGCCAGACAGTAAGAAAATCAGAACTACATACACCATTCAAATATAGGAATTTAGTTGTCTCTTATGAACATCCTCCAACAAAGGTATGAATAATTCACATTATTCCTTTACATCTTCCTATGCTAAAACTGAAATTTAAATAAAATTTTACAAACTAATTTATTGAGAAAATACTAAACCTTTTCAGCAACTAAAAAAACCTAACATGGTTTAGAAAAGTAAGTTTCATATATTAAAAATGACTTACTCTCACATAAAAATAAAAAAGGAAAAATGCATAGTGTAAGTTTCAGCTAGGGATCTGATACTTCTGAAAACGTAACCTTCACATATGTGTGTAGTGATACAGATAAATAAATCAGCTAGGAAATCTAAGAATTACTGCATTAAATATTTTCCTTATTACTCACTTTCATTTTCTACAGTAAAAGTATTTTCTTTCAGTTTTATATTATCATCTTCCTGAGTTTCTAAAGATGTTGATTTTATATACAGTTTCCATATGCGTATCAGGCAATCTTGTGAACAGCTTGCTAGGAAAAGATCTCTTCCTAGTTAGAAAAACAGATATTATTATTTTTAGAACATTCTATTCTTAAATTTAAGTATGAGTTTTTCTTATACAATACACACATTTCTAGATTTCCTGAAAAAATTAAGACTTTGCTTCCCTTTCATTCATTTGACCTATATTCATTTTCAATGACATTGACAAATACACATAAAATGCTAATAAATAGTTATAATATTTGGTATTCCTGTACAATCTACTAATTTCTATGAAGAACTTCTCAAGACTGTCTGCACATGTAATAGCTAGTGTCCTCTTGTAAGGATCAACCTATGTCATCCTCTGCCATCCCAACTAATACTTAATACAAAGGATAAGTATCCTCTTTTCTAATTGGGCCAACAGAAAAATGTCACATACAAAGAAAATGTTAAACGTTAAGAGGCTGCTTTTTTGAAAGTTATACATACTTGTCTGCATTATATGTACTTTAGCAATATTTCATACTGACCAAAGGTTGCCCATTCCACGCCTCTTATCCAATCCTCATGTCCAGAGAGAAAAAGCATTTTCTGAAACTAATAAGATAACAAAAATCACAGGACTTAATGTAAGAATTTAATATTTTAATGTGTATCAGTGACTTCATTTGATCTCAGCCATTCTTCCTGCATTTTTTAAAAAAACTGGGAACCCTATCTGATCAGTCATAAGATAAGAGTTTTCACTTGGGAATGAAAAAAATCTCATCTTCTATATCCTTTAACTGAGGAGTCATGAGTAGATAATATCTGTAGTCCCCAAATACACCAACTGTTCACAAGGTAAAATGACATATGCTGTGGATACAATATAGAAAAAAGCTGGGGGGCTGAACACAATGATTTTTAACTTTCTTATAAAATGCAAAGAAACAAGTATCTCTGTTATTAACTAGGGATTCCCTGGTAGCTCAGCTGGTAAAGGATCCACCTGCAATACGGGAGACCTGGGTTTAATCTCTGGGTTGGGAAGATCCCCTGGAGAAGGGAACAGCTACCCATTCCAGTATTCTGAGCTGGAGAATTCCATGGACTGTATAGTCCATGGGGTCACAAAGAGTGGGCACGGCTGAGCGACTTTCACTCACTCACTACTAACTAAATGAGCACAGGGTTAACCAACCCTCTTTCTGAAACTTCCCTCTGGTTTAATCACTCAAAGAACAGGAAAAGATTACAAGGACAAATAATCACTGCTAGGGGTGTATTTCATGATAGTATGTTACACTTCATTTAAATTTCTTAAGAAAAAATACTACTACAACATTTCCCTCTCTTCTTCCCCACCTAACAACCTGTCTTCCACAACAACTCTGGACTTGGAGGCCAAAGCAGCAGCAGAGTACCTGGTGATCAAAGAGTGACAAGCGGTTTAACAGAGGACTGTCAAAAAGATTTTCCTATTGGATTGGTCAGCTTAGATTGGGACACCCCCCAAATTCTATAACCTAGAAAGTCTGTCTTAAGATATGGAATTAAGCAGAACATAATTCTAGCTTCTTAAAGAAACATGAACAATTACCTGACTGTTTTGTTGAACAAATAAGTGAATTTTGCAGTCATCATCGCCACATGCTAATACTGGCACTGGGAGGAAAAAGAGGCATCACTGTAAGCATCATATAACATACATATATAAAACATCATACAACATCATAACATCCATCCTATGTTATGACAATCACCTATGTGCGGTCCTAAGTTCTAGGTAGAGCCTCGACTTCTATTTCCCACATCACTGAGCAAATAAATTGAAAGCGCTCAATAAACATCTTTAGGAATAAAATGAATATTCTAGAATGTTCCATTAAATGGATACTTGGCAAAGAATGACTATTAACAGAATCCTCTCCTCTGTTCTGTGTCATTTACGATAGAAGGAGCAGTAAAAAGAGCTCAGCAGTAAAAACAAGCTGGGAGCACTTAACCATGTCAGCCAGAACACTTAACAGGAATCATTAGCCCAAGTGAATAATAAAAAATCCAGGAGAGCGACTAAGAGCCCAACATACTGGTTATTGCACAAAGATTTAAGGGTATGTTTGTTACTTTGAAGAATTTGTTTCAAGAATTTGATAATAAAACAAAATCTATGGCATAATTAAAGAACAAAATAAAAGCACATATATAACTATGTGGTTAAAAAGCTATGAAAGTTGTGACTGTAAAATTAGTTTTCTTTAAATCAATTTTAAAAAAAAGTCAAAAAACTCCAGTCACTCAGCCTCAATGCAGATGCTAAGAAATGAAATTCTATGTAACGAAAACCAGAACAGAACGTGTGCAGTTCCTCCTCCCGGGGAGCCTTGGCAGAAAGTGGAACATCACGTGAGACCACGAGTTGCAGCTCCCACTGCAGAGGGCAAAACAGCCTGGAGGTTTCTAGGCCCAGCCTCTGCCCACCAGCTCTGTCCTCCAAGCAACTGAGGAGCCACAGACTGTCTGACGTGCCCTGGCCACCATCCTGGTGGAGAATAATCAAAGACAGGTACAGACGGGCTTCCCAGCAAAAGGATATTTTTTGTTTAGAGATTTTAAGTGGTCTGAGGCAAACTGTCACTGTGCACGATAGGAAGGGGCTGTCACCTTGAGAGAAATGCTCACAGGGCCCATCCCTAGTACTTTCTCAACTTATCCCAGACCTCCACCTTCTACAGAGGTAGGCACTTTTCCCAAATTACATCTACATTGACCATATATCTGATAAATAGGAGTATCAATCTCGAGTTTATATTAAATCACTTAAATTCTTAACAGCTACTGAAGTTTCTAACAGCCACCCCCTTTACCTTATGTTTTATACACAGATCATTTGACTACTGAGAACAAAAGTATGTTATTCATGTCTTTCAACTTGTCTCCTAAAAATATTTAGACACAAAATTAAGATCCAATATGTTTCTTTTAGGTCCTGGTTGTATGAAGATATAAAAATATGTTGCTCTTTTAATATACACTTAGCAGGAAACTCACCATCAGTATTAGGCAAAAAAGACAAGCAGAGAGCCAGAGCGAATCCACTTCCAAAGTTCAAGGTCTGAAGGCATGTCACTAAGAAATAAAACACACCATGAACAACTAACTCAGCTTATCCACCTGGAGAGGTCCAGTGGCATCATCAGAACCCTGGACGTCAGCAGGGAGATGAGAGAAGTCGATCCTGAGCCCCCAGTGACAATGGGAATTTAAATGGTCAGCTTTTAAGGTTACAAGAGAACAAGGTTACAGAGAACAAAAAGACTTAAATGAAAACGCTTTGAAGGAATTTACATTATCAACAGTTTGGTAAACAGGAATTATAGAAAAGTGCAAAAGAAAAAAACATTCAGATTAGAATTCTAACATTTCAAAAACAATTTCAAAAACTTCTTAAAAGACTGAAAAAATTGTGAGGATGCTCTTCTAAGATGCTATTCATTTGATAATTACTATTTCACCTGTTTGGAACAACACCTGTAAACCTACCTTCAGAACCCTCTTTAGCCCAGATTCGAACAGTAGAATCGGAAGCCGCGGACACTATCAGTGTGTGCAAAGCAAGGTCTGGTGTCCTCCTCTGGTAAACAGCATGCACAGCATAAACAGGGCCTTCATGGCCGTAGATGGGGACTGCTTTCAAAAGCTGAATCACAAAGAATAACAAAAATGCTATGTTAAACAAAAGAATGATCAGTTTCACCTGCACTTAACTAGAATCAGAGGATTAAAGGCGTTGTTAAAATGCCTGACCCAGAAGTCAGTCCTCTCAAGCTGAGAGAGTGAAGGACAGGGAAGCCTGGCATGCTGCAGTCCATAGGGTTGCAAAGAGTCAGACATAACTTAGCGATTGAGCATGAACAAGCTGAGAAGAACATAAACTTGTGAGAAGTCTGTCTGATCATATTAACAACACACAAAATGTGCACATCCCTTGACATAGCAATCTCACATCTAAGAACCTACTCTTGAGAGAGCAGCACTAGTTTAACAGATAATAGACAAATGTAAAAGGATACTTATCATACACTCCTCAGGAAAATTGGAATCAACTTAAAAGTATTAACAGGAAAAAAAAGTATTAATAGGAAACTGATTAAATAATTTTAGACTTATATTCTAAGCCAACAAAAAGGATAACACTCACTTATCACCATGCAAAGACATCCATGACATTGATACTTTTGAAGACTACAGGCCAGATTTGTGGACTGCTCCTCCTCTAAGACTGGTCTGATGTCTCCCCATGAACAGATTCAGGGCTGACACTGTGACGTCATCACAACATCAGTGTAACACACCAGGAGACACGCAATGTCAGTCTGTTGCACTATCAGTGAAACTACCTTTGATATTTTAGCAAAGGTAGTGTTAACCATGTTTTTTCACTATGAAAATTTTTTCTGTGGCAATATGTGAGATTATGTTTTGGAACTGAGTAAATGTTCTGTTTTGCATCAAATTTTTACCAAGTTTTTCAGCATCCACTCGTAATATTTGCATGTATCAAGCAGAGCTACAAAACAAAGAGCTAGCAAAAACTGGAAAATCCCACCTGGTTATCAGTCTTCCTGTTTGCCATGCAAGATTATGCCCTGTGGTAACACTTCTGTTATTGTGCGTCTGTATTTTTAGAGTTCCAAATACGTAAGATTTACCACTTTCCTTGAGAAGTATGTTTTGTAAATTGTTGTCTGCTAAAATAGTTATCTTAAATATCTCAATTGTTTTTCCAATTACTTAAGTAGAACTCTGCCACTCAAAAAGGTAATTAATAGTTATGTATAAGGCTTTGTACACTAACTTCTGTAGTCATTAACCTTTGACTTCCCTGAAAAAAACTTTTTTTCTTTAAAAAAACACTTTTTAAAACTCAAGTAAACAACACCACTTTAGTACACAATTAAACACTAGAGATATGGAACAATCTTCACTAGAATGTTAGCCATGGAAATTTTGTGTCTTTTTCCTTCTTTATACTTTCCTATTTAAAATTTACTGTTACTGTTGTTGCTCAGTCACTAAGTCATGTACAACTCTTTGCAACCCCAGGGACTGCAGTATGCCAGGCTCCCCCGTCCTCCATTATCTCTCGGAGATCACTCAAATTCATGTCCACTCAGTCGGTAATGCTGAGTCTGTATAATTACCTCCCAAGTGTTAAATCTGTGGAAAAACTCATTTCACACCTGTTTTTTATGTTTTATTTTATACTGAAGTATCATTGATTTACAGTGTTACATTGTGTTATACATATTCTTTTTCATATCCTTTCCTATTACAGTTTTGAATGAAGATCCCTATGCTATACAGTAGGGCCTTGTTGTGTTATTCATTTTATATAGTTTGTATCTGCTAATCCCAGGCTCCTAATTTTACCCCCCATCCCCTTCCCCCTATGGCAATCATAGATTTGTTTTCTATGTCACTTCACATCTTTAAGCAGAATTTTATTTCAACCATCAGAGAATCTTAAAAGATCAAACAAAACAAATCTCTCAAGTTCACTGGCTTATTAGAAAATAATACCCACTGGTCAAAGACTCAAATCTCTCATTATGCCAGCTTAGAACTATTTCCTTTTATCAGAAGTCAAGATGCAGTGAGCACCTGTGTGCGTGAAAATGCATGCCAGACGGAACCTTTAAGCCTCTCAAGTTACAATGTGTGACTCCTTCCCCCAAATCCTTTTATTCCCTTCATCCCTCTTTGATGCCTTTCGTCTTCCTCCTCTTCCTGTTTGGCCTCAAGCCTCCTTTCTGGTCCTGTCTAAGTTCTCTATCTGCCATCAGATACTTAGCCTGCAAGCCTCTCTACTGACAGAAGCTTAGAGCATCACTAACAGAAGAGTCTTGCAAGTCTCAACTCAAGGTCTCAAAAATGAGTGCTCAAGTGGTTCTCTCTGAATTCCTCTGCCAAGTTAAGTCCAAATAGGAGCTGCTTTGCTACATAAGCCTTTGCAGTTCTCATTCAAGTCTAAGTGACTCCACAATCCCCACCTCCAAACCTGGCCCTTTTCTCTGGAGACAAGTCTGGGTGTCTGGCCAGCAATACATGTAAAATGTTTACAACATCTTCCCTCCCACTTGCCTATTTTGCTTTGTAGAAGCATCTTTCTTCCAGGGCCCAGAGACAGAATCCCACTGTTTTTGATTTCTCACTTCTCTACCCACGAGCTTCCCACTCCTTTGGCAACTTATCTAGTCAATGCCAAAATCATTTTTTGCCTTCAAAAATACATTTCATATCTCTTCCTTCATAGTTTTTCCTACCCCAATTTGGCACACTCCTGTCAGATTCATCTTCCTTTGGCATACACACTCCCTGCCTAGAAACCCTGCTGCTGCTGGTGGGTTTTGTTGCTGAGCCGAGTCCGACTCCCAGGACCCTGTCAGAAGCCCCCCAGGCTCCTCTGTCCACGGGCTCTTCCAGGCAAGAAACCCTGAGCGACTTCCAATGCCCGTTCATAAGGAACAAGCTCTTGAACCCAAAGTCTCACAAGGTCGTCTCCTCCTCTTCTTATTAGAAAGTAACACTTCTGCTGCCCACCCTGTGGTATCGAGAAATATTTCCAAAATTGTGTTCCTCAAAGTTACAACGGATGCTAAGGGACTTAAAGCGGGGTGGGGAATCAGTCTTGAAGGAAACACTGGTTGAAAAAAGATGAGCAGGTCTGTCCATGTCAGAACTTTTCAGAGCCTTCACTATGCTCATGTACATTTAATGATTCCCTAAGAGAAGTGTATGTAGTTTTTCCACAGTGACCATAGATTCCTTTTTACAGAGCTTAAAGATGAATAATTCTCCGAACGAGCTCGAAAAGCCCTGCCCTTAAGACATCTTAGGCGATGGTGGAAACTGGATACTTCTGAGCAAATGGTCTCCCTTCTCACCTGAGCTTTGATTCATGCATTTTTCCTACCTGGAATCCCCAACCCTTTCATTCTTCCTAAGAAAATCATCCCATACTATTAGACTCAACTCAAGAGCTGCCTCTTAAATCCCTATTGAACTTTCACAGCGGCATGGTTGTGGTTCAGCAAGAGCAAGCACTCACCCGCAGAGCCACCTTTGTACTTATTAAACAAATTTGTAGTTATTTAAGCATATTTTGCCCTCGATATATATGCACAATTCATGAAAAGGATTCTGCCCCACTTGTATCTTCTGCATGGCAGATGTTCAAGTATCTGATGCACCAACTTCACATTTTTAATCTCTGCTTTCAACTAGAACCAACCTAAACGTCCATCCACAGAGGTCCATGCACCCCCAATACTGCATATTATAACATTACGCAAAATTATATAAATCTATATCCACAGGCAACCATTGTCCTATGCACACAGCGGTATGAATTTTTGCGGTCACTGAAAACAAAACAGCCCATGTAACAGCACTTTGTAAATTATTTCAAATGATAAGAAACTCAAAGAAATGACTGACAGCCTATGAATATGGAAGCAGGTATTAGAAGGAAGGGGACAGGACCTATGACATGGAAGATACAGGATCTGAATTACTGATAAGCAAGAATGAGGCACTTCATCAAAGAGGAACACAAGAAAAATGACAGGAAAAATTGAAAATAAATGTAGATATGACAGTCATTTCTTATAACCATAAACATGTCTACCCACCTGATTATTCTCTATTTCCCAGTGAATCACTTGATTATCAGATCCTCCAGAAACTAATTCAGTTGAAGAAGCTGAAAAAAATTGTATCTCAGTGAACATTTTTTTCCCAGCTATTTTGAAAAACTCCAAAGCTATGGAAAAAACAAAACTCACATACCTTTACCTGTATTCACCAACTGTTAAGATTTTGCCATATTTGCTTAATATCTTGCTCTCTGTATGTACATTTATACACACCTCCATTTTTGCTTTTGACAAACCATTCAAAAATAAGTTGGAGGCATGATGACCTTTGATCCTTAAGATATTTTACCCTATTCTTCTCAAAAACTGGAACATTCTCCTACATTGTTGTTGATTAGTCGCTCAGTTGTGTCCGACTGTCTGCAACCCCATGGACTACCAGGCTTCTCTGTCCATGGAATTTCCCAGGCATAAATACTGGGGTGGGCTGCCATTTCCTTCAATAGGGGATCTATCTCACCAGCGCAGGGATCGAACCTGCATTTCCTGCATTGACAGGTGGATCTTTTACCCACTGAGCCACCACATATAATTATCACATTCAAGAATGTTAACACTGACACAGTAATGTTATGCAATAATACATATTAAAATTTCCCAAGATTTGTCCCAGTAATGTCTTCTGTAACTTCTTTTTTAGTCAAAAATCTAAGGACCATACATTATGCATTTGATTGACACATCTTTTAAGTCTCCTTTAATCCTGAATAACTTTCCAGTTTCTCCTTTTGTTACAATGCAAGTCCAGGCCAGTTGTGTTGCTGAATGTCCCTCAATGTGTATTTGTCTGGTTGTTTCCTTATGAGACTCAGGCTAAATACTTTGGGTAGAAATAACATATACCAGCCATTACAGTTAGCTGGTGCTATCAAGTGCATGAAATATTTTTGAAATCAAACACATATTTCAAAATAGCTCCTTCAAACATTTATTTCTTATTGATAGAAGAAAATGAATAAGAATCAAAAAGGGGGAAATAATCTAATATAATTTTGGTTTGGATTTTCCGTTTATTTATTTCTGCTGGTTTATGTTTAGATGGGTGAAATAGCTGGCGGACTACCTAAACACATTAGATTTGTACTCAAAAGTCCCAGGCTCATATACTAACCCTGCTGTCAGCCAGCTGCGAGCTTGGGGTTTAATTTCTTCATGTGTCATGGCAATTAAGCCACCGACCTAACTATATGATTCTGATAACTGCTCTAAGATACACGAAAGTAATGTGATAAGAATCAGATGTTTTAAAAATATAAAATAATATCACTAGAATTTCATGTCACTGATATATGGGTTAGAAAAAGTACCTGAATTATCTGGCAATAGAATCCAATTCTGAGAAAATCAATCATAACTGTAATAGATTTCAGTGAAACACAAGCAATTCATTTTATGTAACCTCACTTTTAAAGGGAAGATAAAACATACAAGCCCAAATTAACACTTTAAAAGGAATCCCTATACTGAGATTCAAGTAGGCTTTGATGTCATTCGGTGGCAATTAATATAATTACAATTGTATTTTAATATATGCACTAACAGCCACTCTTTCTACTATTTAATGGTTTTTACTGACCTAATGTGACTAACCCTGCATTACCAACTGTAATAAATAGCTTATTAAACTTTTTTTTAATGTCACAGATAAAACCATAGCCAAGTGTCACTAATTCAGGAAATTCTGCCTTTGGGCCTGGCTCAGAATCCACTCTAATGTTCTTGCCTGGAGAATCCCAGGGACGGCAGAGCCTGGTGGGCTGCCGTTTATGGGATCGCACAGAGTCGGACATGACTAAAGCGACTTAGCAGCAGCAGCAGAATGCTCTCAATAAATAGCTGCAAAATCAAAAAATAAAATTAATTCAGAGTCCATAAAAACACTATAGTAGGTATAGTTAAGACGTGAAGAATTTCCATAGGATTTTAGAAGCCCATCTAGAAGCAATGTTAAATAAAAATTCTAGAGCCGTGGAAATCTCAGAGATGAAAGACACCTGGAGATAATCTAGTCCAGCAATTCCCAAATGTTTTGATATCAGGACTCCCTGACAACTCATAAAATTTTTTGAAGAGCCCAAAGGCCTTTTGTTTATATAGGCTATATGTGCCAATATTAATCACAACAGAAATTAAAACTAAGAAATTTGAAAAATACTTATATATTAGTTCACTTACAAATAACAAGAACATAACTTTTTTTATAGGGGGAAGCCCCGTATTCTCCAAAACAAAAAAATTAATAAGAAGAAAGGCACTGTTTAATATTTCAGAAAACTTCTTTAAAGTCTGACTTTATTAGAACACACCTGAATTTTCATATCTGCTCCTGTGTTTAAACTGTGGCATCATCACACATTATATAGCCACTGGAAAATGGCACTGCATACTTGGAACAGAACAAAGACTAGGAATAACTTCTTCGTATTATTCAGAAAATAATTTTGACCTCATAGGTATCAGGAATCACTCACTGATTCAGTCCAAAGTTTTACTTTTTGTATATTACTAAGATGCAAACTAGGGTCAACAAAAATGCAATGCCTTGCCTAAAAAACCGATTGTTTGTCTGTGGCAGAAACAGACTACCTACAGGCTGAATTTTCTGAAACCCAGTCTGGGCTCCAATACAGGCCCTGCATACAGGCTTTGAATCAAAAGCTGTGGGCAATGGCAGGGCTCTCGCCTCAGTAAGGGGATGCCTCTACCCTCATCCTAAGGACTGCTGTGTTATCCATGCTTCAATTGCTACAAAGTAGAAGTAGTATAAGTCAGATATTTCATTGGGCATGTCATTTTTCTTCTCTTTTTCTAAATACATAATATCAGATACAGTAATGCTAAATTAAGAGAAGTCAGATTAATACTTACAACCATCCTGTTTACAAATCCACTGTAGGCAATTGACTCGAGCAGCATGACCATTCAGGTTGGTGATAACAACCCTTTTCTTTAGAGGAGAAAATACCAGTTAGTATGTTGGAATGTATCCCACAGAGGAGCTGATAAATTAATAAAAATCATATTTCAGAAAATATTCAGGATTACTTCAAACAGAATCACCTTAACTCATAAACTTTACCATGGCTTAAGTCATCCATTCACTTTTTAAAATTCATTCTTGCCTTTTTCCCCACTCTACATTCACTCAGCCCTACTCTCTTCTTAATTAGGAAGCCTGTCTCCAAAACCCCAGACTAGACAAGAGCCTATGTTCTCACTGGTCTCAGGGCCTACTTTTACCATGCTTGTACAGATTCAAGAATTTGGTTGACCAAAAGAAAAATCCCTTCATTCAGAGAATGCATAATTGATGGATGCAAAACCATGGCTTACTTAGCATGCCATGGCTGATCTGGTGTTGGGTTCTTCAGCCTTAACAATACAAAGTCACTAGGCCACAACTATGAAGACCCTCAGACATCAGATCCCTTCAGGGCCTATGGCCAGGTTGCCGGCAGATCCTCAGACTGCTGCTTTCACCAGATCACTCCACACCTGGGCTTTCTCTACTTCCCCCACTGCTGGAGACTCTATGCCTACTGGGCCCTCCTCTTACAGCCCTTTCTCTACCGGTTGCCTGGAGCACTGACTTCACACCTGCTTGCACGTCAACTGGAACCCTCACAGCTGAGAAAATGGTATACAAAGGGAAATGTGCATAAGCTAATATAGTTCACATATGGGTTATATGAGTTTGGGAAACAGTTTAAAGCAGGGGCCGCCAGCTGCTGGAATCTAATGCCTGATGATCTGAGATGGACCTGGTGTAATAATAATAAACTGCACAATAAACCTAATGAGCTTGAATCATTCCAAAACATACCCTCCCATCCCTGGTCTGTGGAAAAACTGTCTTCCATGAAACCAGTCCCCGGTGCCAAAAATATCGGAGCCTGATAAAGTATTTCATTGTCTTTCTCACCAGAATGAGAATTTCTTGATGGACAGGGGTCATAACTCATTATTTTTGTGTCATCGCCACTCAGTTCAAGGCTAGCCTCAAAAGTTTGCTGAACGAACATCATCTTCAAAGTTTCACTTTAGCATCTGACACATTTAATCCTCTATTTAATTAAATACCCAGCCAACAATACTTAACAAAACTTTCTAGGATCCATACACCTTTTTTTCTTGATGTTAAAACGCCCCTGAGATAGCCACCAATTTATCATTAAAAATAGAAATGTGGTAGAAGAGATGGGTACAAATCCATTAGACAGCTGCATAAAGATAGGCTTCTACAGTCTTAGTTGATGGCCAATGTAAAGCTTACTCTTGGTTTTACGTGCTTTATTTTGCCAGTTAAGAGTGCATGGAAGAGAACAAAGCAAGAAGTATAACCCTCCCAGACATCAGACAATGCAGTAATCAAAACAACATGGCACTGGCAAAAAATAGACATATGGATCAATGGAACAAAACAGAGAGCCTAGAAATAAGCCCACACACCTAGGGTCAATTAATTTTTGACAAAGGAGGCAAGAATATACAATGCAGAAAAGACAGTCTCTTTATCAAGAAGTGTCAGGAAAGCTGGACAGCTGTATGTAAATCAATATTAAGTCAGAACACACCCTCACATCAAACCCCAAAATAAAATGGCTTAAAGACTTAAATATAAGACATGACACTGCTAAACTCCTAGAAGAGAAAATAGGCAAAACAGTCTCTGACAAAAATTGTATCAATGTTTTCTTAGACCAGTCTCTCAAAGCAACAGAAATAGAAGCAAAATTAACAAATGGGATCTAATCAAACTTATAAGCTTTTACATCATAGCAAAGGAAACCATAAACAAAACTAAAAGACAACCTACAGACTGGGAGAAAACATCTGTAAACATTGTGACCAACCAGGGCTTAATTTCCAAAATATATAAACAGCTCACACAGTTCAATAACAAAAACAACAACAAAAATTTTCAAAAAATGAGAAGATCTAGACATTTCTAGAAAGAAGACACAAAGATGGCCAAGAGGTATGTGAAAAGATACTCAACATCGCTAATTATTAGAGAAATGGAAAGCAAAACTACAATGAGATATCACCTCACACAAGTCAGAAAGGCCATTATTAAAAAGTCTACAAGTAACAAATGCTAAAGAGGGAGTGGTTGTAGCAGTGGTCTACCCTGCTACACTGTTGGTAGGAATGTAAATGGATGCAACCACTATGGAAAACAGTACAAAGGTTCCTTAAAAAACTAAACACAGAACTACCAAATGATCCAGCTATCCCACTACTGGGAATATACCCGGAAAAGGTGAAAACTCTAATTCAAAAGATGCATGCACCCCAATGTTCAAAGCAGCATTATTTTTACAATAGTCAAGAAATGGAAGGAATATCTATCGACAGATAAATGGATAAAGGAAATGTGATATACATACACACACACACACACACACACACACACACACAAGGTAATATTACTCAGCCATAAAAAAAGAATAAAATAAGGCCATTCGAACCAACATAGATGAACTTAGAGGTTATCATACTAGGAAAGTCAGAAAAAGAAAGACAAATATCATTATGTGGGATCTAACATATGACACAAATGAACTTATCTTCAAAACAGAAACAGACTCACAGACACAGACTTGTCATTGTCAAGGGGAATAAAGTGTGAAGGATGGATGGATTCAGAGTTTGGAATTTGCAAAAGCAAGCTACTATATATATGTATACCTAAATCACTTTGCTGTACACAGAAACTTACACAGCATTATAAATCAACTATACTTCAATAAAATAAAGTTTTTGAAGAGTGCATGGTAATAACAAAACAAAAACTGGAAGGAGGCAAGCAAGCTCAAGAAAAATGAGTAGAACTATTTCATTTATAAGTTTGACTCTGCATTGGATAGGAGGATGATGGAACTTTTAAAATATGACTTATTTACAATGATTTAGGTGTAAAGCAAAGTGATTCAGTTATTCTTTTCCAGATTCTTTTCCATTATAGGTAATTGCAAGATACTGAACATAGCTCCCTGTGCTATACTATAGGTCCTCGTCGTTTATCTATTTTATAAGATATATTGTAGTACATATCTGTTAATCTCAAAGCCCTAATTTATCCCTCCCTGCCCCATTCCCATTAGGCAAAAAAAGTAAGCTTGTTTTCCGTCTCTGAGTCTATTTCTGTTTTGTAAATAAGTTGCTTTGTAACATTTTTTAGATTCCACATGTGAGTGATACCATATGGCATTTATCTTTCTCTGTCTTACTTCACTTAGTATGATAATCTGTAGGTCCATCCATGTTGCGGCAAATGGTATTACTTCATTCTTTTCATGGCTCAATTGCATTCCCTTGTGTGTGTGTGTGTGTATGTGCATATATATATCTCACCATATCCTCTTTATCCATTCATGTGTTGATGGACATATAAATTGCTTCTATGTCTTGACTGCTGTAAATAGTGTTGCTATGAACATTGTGGTACATGCAACTTTTTGAATTAGTTTTTGCGTTTTCCAGATATATGTCCAGGAGTGGGATTGCTGGCTCATATGGTAACTCTTAGTTTTTTAAGGAACTTTGAACTGTTTTCCATAATGGCTGCACTAATTTACATTCCCAACAACATCCTAGGAGGGTTCCCTTTTCTCCACACCCTCTCCATATTTATTATTTGTAGATTTTCTGATGACAGCCATTTTGACCTGTCTGAGGTGATACCTCACTGAGGTTTTGATCTGCATTTCTTTAATTAGCGATGTTGAGCATCTTTTCAGTTGCCAGCTGGTCGTCTACGTCTCATGTGTCCGTAGTTGTTCAGTCACTAAGTTCCGTCTGACTCTTTGCAACCCCATGGACTGCAGCTCGCCAGGCTCCTCTGTCCTCCACCATAACCCATACCATACTCAGATTCATGTTCATTGAGTCAGTGATGCTATCTAACCATTTCATCTTCTGCCTGTATGTCTAGGATGATGGACTTTTTAATAAAATTAATAAACTCAGTTCAGTTCAGTTGCTCAGTCATGTCCCACCTCTTTGTGACCCCATGGACTGCAACACCTCAGGCCTCCCTGTCCATCACCAACTCCTGGAGTTTACTCAAACTCATGTCCATTGAGTCGGTGATGCCATCCAACCATCTCGTCCTCTGTCGTCGCCTTCTCCTGCCCCCAATCCCTCCCAGCATAAGGATCTTTTCCAATGAGTCAGTTCTTCGCATCAGGTGGCCAAAGTATTGGAGTTTCAGTTTCAGAATCAGTCCTTCCAATGAATATTCAGGACTGATTTCCTTTAGGATGGACTGGTTGGATCTCCTTGCAGTCCTAGGGACTCTCAAGTCTTCTCCAACACCACAGATCAAAAACATCAATTCTTCAGCACTCAGCTTTCTTTATAGTCCAACTCTCACATCCATACATGACTACTGGAAACACCATAGCCTTGACTAGACGGACCTTTGTTGGCAAAGTAACATCTCTGCTTCTTAATATGCTGTCTAGGTTGGTCATAGCTTTTCTTCCAAGAAGGAAGCATCTTTTAACTTCATGGCTGCAGTCACTATCTACAGTGATTATGGAGCCCAAAAAAATAAAGTCCATCACTGTTTCCCCATCTATATGCCATGAAGTGATGGGACCAGATGCCATGGTCTTAGTTTTCTGAATGTTGAGTTTTAAGCCAACTTTTTCACTCTCCTCTTTCACTTTCATCAGGAGGCTCTTTAGTTCTTCGTCACTTTCTGCCATAAGGGTGGTGTCATCTGCATATCTGAGATTATTGGTATTTCTCCCAGCAATCTTGATTCCAGCTTGTGCTTCATCCAGCCCAGCATTTCTCATGATGTACTCTGAATAGAAATTAAATAAGTAGGGTGACAATATACAGCCTTGACATACTCCTTTCCTGATTTGGAACTAGTCTGATGTTCCATGTCCAGTTCTAACTGTTGCTTCCTGACCTGCATACAGATTTCTCAAGAGGCAGGTCAGGTGGTCTGGTATTCTCATCTCTTTAAGAATTGTCCACAGTTTGTTGTGGTCCACACAACAAACAACACAACACAGTCAAAGGCCTTGGCATAGTCAATAAAGCAGAAATAGCTGTGTTTCTGGAACTCTCTTGCTTTTTTGATGATCCAATGGATGTTGGCAATTTGATCTCTGGTTCCTCTGCCTTTTCTAAATTCAGCTTGAACATCTGGAAGTTCACAGTTCACATACTGTTAAAGCCTGGCTTGGAGAATTTTCAGCATTACTTTACTAATATGTGAGATGACTGCAATTTTGTGGTAGTTTGAGCATTCTTTGGCATTGGCTTTCTTTCGGATTGGAACGAAAACTGACCTTTTCCAGTCCTGTGGCCATGCCTGAATATCCCAAATTTGCTGACATATTGAGTGCAGCACTTTCACAGCATTGTCTTTTAGGATTTGAAATAGCTCAACTGGAATTCCATCACCTCCACTAGCTTGGTTCTTAGTGATGCTTCCTAAGGCCCACTTGACTTGGCGTTCCAGGATGTCTGGCTCTAGGTGAGTGATCACACCATCGTGATTATCTGGGTCATGAAGATCTTTTTTGTACAGTTCTTCTGTGTATTCTTGCCACCTCTTCTTAATATCTTCTGCTTCTCTTGGGTCCACACCATTTCTGTCCTTATTGTGTCCATCTTTGCATGAAATGTTCCCTTGGTATCTCTAACTTTCTTGAAGAAATCTCTAATCTTTCCCATTCTATTGTTTCCTCTATTTCTTTGCACTGATCACTGAGGACAGCTTTCTTATCTCTCCTTGCTATTCTTTGGAACTCTGCATTCAAATGGATATAGCTTTCCTTTTCTCCTTTGCTTTTCACTTCTCTTCTTTTCACAGCTATTTGTAAGGCCTACTCGGACAGCCTTTTTGCTTTTTCGCATTTCTTTTTCTTGGGGATAGTCTTGATCCCTGTCTCCTGTACAATGGCACGAACCTCCGTCCATAGTTCATCAGGCACTCTATCAGATCTAATCCCTTGACTCTATTTGTCACTCCCACTGAATAATCGTAAGGGATTTGATTTAGGTTATACCTGAATGGTCTAGTGGTTTTCCCTACTTTCTTCAATTTAAGTCTGAACTTGGCAATAAACTAGTAAAAAAAAGCTATTTCCTGCATTGCATTTTAATTCCCAGTATTTTACTTTTTATACTTAGGCTTCTTTTGAGAAGCAACACTAACTGTATTGTCCAAAATCAGCCAGTGGGAACGGGGTCACATTCAGGGAAGAATGCAGAAAGTAGGCACTCGAGAAGTTTGGTAACGAAAAGGCCAAGAAAATAATCATTTGGGTGCAGTTCTGGGAACGGATAAGTGCTTAGGAGCTCCACTTCTAGGACCTTTGCCCTAATGGTATATTCTTTAAAATGTCCGCTCCCGAAGCTAAACTGCAAGAAATAGTTCTTTGAAACTGAACACAGCAATAGTTTATTAAGTAACACTTAGGGAAATACAAAAATGAGATAGCTCCAGATACATGTATATGTATGGCTGAATCCCTTCACTGGTTACCTTAAACTATCATAATACTGTTCATTGGCTAAAGGCAAACAAAACAAACACTTGAAATTTTAAAAGAATCAGATGGCACCAGTGAGATGGCTTTAATAAACCACATTTAAATGCAAATCTTTTCAAACTCAAATTGATTCCTTAACAGTGTTACAGTTTCCACAGAAGGCTTCAGAAAAGGTTGTCACCGTTTGAATTTCTACGTGGCTAACAGGCCACCTGTAGGACACGGTGACCCCAGGCTGACCCAGCGCAGGACACTGGCGAGAGGCGAGTGTCGCGCGCCAGAGCCAGACCCACCGCCCAGACACCCTCCCCGAAGTGGATCGGGCCGCACACCGGATCTCCAGGCTCCGGAACAGCGTCTACAGAGTCCGCCCCCGAGCATACGCAGCAGATGCGGCGCCAGAAGCAGACCGGGTCCGGCCACTTCTCTCACCTGAGGGTCATAGAGCACCACGGAACAGGACGTGCCGAAGGCCATAAGCCCTCCGGGCCCGGGGCTCCAGCTCAGGGCTCCCCGCACCCGGTTCGGGCAGCAAAACACGTGAGACGTCTCCAACACGGGTGCCACCATGTTGCTGTCTGGTCAGCGGCCGAAACCTGGGCACGCACTTCCGCCCTCGGAGCGGAACTGCCTGCCCACCGCGTCTTCCCGCGGGCGTTATCCGGGCCGCGTTTCCGAGGCGGCCGGGGGCGGGACGGGGGCGACCCCGCCTCCGCCGGGCCCGCCCCACCCCCACCCCAGCCCAAGCGGCCTTCAGTGCGTGTGGTAACCTCTACCAGCCCTCGTGTCGAGGATCGTGGCCCAAGAACGGCCTGCGTCCCAGGAACACAGACGCGACCGGAAGCGCTCAGAACCCCCCAGAAAGACTCAGGACTCGTGTGCCCAGAGAACGTCCCGCTGCCCTCACTGCCGGGATCCCAGCGGCAGACGGGGCTGGCTCGGGGGGGTGGGGTTGAGGAACGAGTCTCAGAGAGGCGGGCGGCACGGAGGAGCTGGAAGAAAGAGCCCCGGGCAAATCTCGGCGCCCCGCGCGCACAGGGACCGCGTCTCCGCCCCCCTCGAGCCCCGCGGCGCCGGCGAACAGGCGGACCCGTGGATCCGCCCGCCGGGGACGGGGTGGAGCCGCACTGCGCATGCCCCGCAGCAGAGGCCGGAGGAGGCGGTGGCTCCCGGCGGCGTGCTGCGCGCGGCGCTAATTAGTAATTGTCCTCCTGCTCCCGGGAGGCGGCGACGGCGGCGCGTGGGGCGCGGCTTGCCGGGGTCTGCGCGGTGCTACCCCGACCGAGGGGCAGCCGGGCCGATGAGACCGCCGCCTCTCCCTGCAGTGTAGAGATCTCTAGGGAGACAAGTAAGGGTCGGCTCCGCACCGCCGGCGGGAACTTGAACCGGCGCGCGGGAACGGCCCAGGGGTCGGCGAGGCCGCGGAGAGGTGAGTCCCGCAGGTCTAGGAAGGGCGGGCGGAGAGGGGAACCCCGCGGGGCCGGCGAGGCCGGACTTCCCAGTTTGGGGTGCACAGCGGGCTTTGAGGTCCAATGGGATAAGGAAACGGTTTGTCCTGTTCATCTCAATTTTCCAAGAGAGTACAGTGGTGTTTAAAAATAAAAAGCCCTTCGAGGCAGTTTTGCGCGCTCTTTCCCGTTTTCTCCGCTCGCCCCTTTCTCCAGGCCCTTCCGCTTTTTTCTCCCTCACACGTGTTCTTGCGGGGAAGGAGATCCGTCGTTGGGTCTGGGACCGCCCTAAGCATCCTTCCCTCCCTTGGGAAAGGCACGGAGCTGCTCCTGAGCCATTCGTCCGGGCTGTCCCCACCCATCTCGCTCCTCGTGTATTTCTTAAAGGTTTTCTTCTGCCCGTTAAAACTTCGGGCCCCAAGGATTGTTCTGCTAGGAGTCTAGCCCGGTGATAGTGCGTACGTCCTCTTTTCACAGTACGATAAGCAGCAGCTGTGCAATACTGCTGACAGCGTTTAGAGCACTTCCACATACATCCGTGCGAGTGGTTTCCTCTGTCTCCGTATAAAATAGGTATTATCAGCTTATCCAAAGAAGAAGAGCTGAAGGTGGTAGAGCTCAATTGCTCCTCGCCCTTGCCATCTCACTCCGGATCCCGACCTCCTCTTATTTTCACCGGAGGCAGACCAATTTGGTCACGATCACCACCCATCATTGGCGCTGGGCATCTGCTGGCTGGGTCCTGAGATATTAGTCTAGCTGCTTCTTTGGCCTATACTACTTCATCTGCTTAACTGAATTCTGCTTTTTCAAGGTTCAGCTGGATCCCTAACTCCTCTTTGGAACATAGTTCTTTGGTTCCCAGCAGTATTACGCGGATGAGTGATGGAAAAATAAGAGCAACACAGTTTTTTAATAAAGTTTAATTTCCTTAAAAAACTGTTACTGTGCAGTCTTTCAAAAAGATGTGATCACTTTGAATATACTCACGTGGAAAGATGTCATTTGTTGAGTGTAAAAAACAAAAGATCCCACTAGTATGATTAAGGTGTACATGTACCTGAGTATGCGTGAGGGATTCTCAAGAAACTGGCCAAATTGGTTGCCTCTGAAGAATGGGACTGGGGGAGAAAGGCCTCAAATAGATTTATATATGGTTTAAGAAAAAAACTTTAAATGTGGCTTATTCTGATTGCTATATTTACTTTTTTTTGATGTTAAAACATCGTTTTATGAAATGGTAGTGGTCGTGGTGGAGGTAGGTAGTTTGGATTTTGAGTTCTTTTGTTTCGAATTCTTGTTTGAAACATGATATAATGCCAATATGGCTGTGACCACGTGGGTCCCTCCAGTCTCTGAATTACTATTGCTTTTATAGTAATTACAGAGTCTTAGCACTCAACTGCTCTCCAGTTGTTTCCCATGTTTCAGCACTGCAGTCGTAGAGCCTAGGACTCCAGTTTGGTTTTTTGTTTGTTTTTTACAGTGTCTAGCACTACACCGATCACTCTAGATGGTACTCTGTTAAACTTGGTTATTTGATTAGACAAAATCAGTTTTCAGCATGAGATTTCTTAATTCAAATTGTTTTGGAAGGGAAGACAAGGTTGTTGTTTCTTTCCTTTTGTTTTCTGTCTTCCGTAGGAAGGTGCGATGGCGAGGAGTTTATCAGTGATCTTGATCCTGACCTTGACTCTGTCAGTCACAAATCCCCTTCATGAAGTAGGACCAGCCACTGCTTTCCCTCAGACCACTGAGAAAATTATTCCAAGTTGGGAATCTGGTATTAATGTTGACTTGGCAGTTACCACACGGCAGCATCATCTCCAGCAGCTTTTCCACCGCTATGGAGAAAATAATTCCCTATCAATTGAAGGGTTCAAAAAGTTGCTTCAGAATATAGGCATAGATAAGATTAAGAGAATTCATATACACCATGACCATGAACATCACTCTGACCATGAACATCACTCTGACCATGAGCATCACTCTGACCATGAGCATCACTCTCACCATAATCATGCTGCTTCCAGTAAAAATAGTCGGAAAGCTCTCTGCCCAGATCATGACTCTGATGGTTCAAGCAAAGACCCAAGAAACAGCCACGGGAAGGGATCTCATCGATCAGAACATGCCAGTGGCAGAAGGAATGTTTTAATCAAGGAGGGTATTGGTGCTAGTGAAGTGACCTCAACTGTGTATAATGCTGTCTCTGAGGGAACTCACTTTCTCGAGACCATAGAAACTCCAAAACATGGAAAACTTCTCCCCAAAGATGTGAACAGTTCCACTCCACCCAGTGTCACAGAAAAGAGCCGGGCAAGCAGACTGGCTAGTAGGAGAAGCAATGAATCAATGAGTGAGCCCAGAAAAGACTTTATGTATTCCAGAAGCCCAGGCGAAAATACTCAAGAGGTAAGATGTTTCTCGTTATTTTAATCAATATGCCTGCTGTCTATCCTGTCATTGCCATTCTCTCTACACTAAAAATAAAATGGTGAGTTCATTGAAAGGGGAATTTCTCCTTTCTCAGCAAGACACTTAGCTCAAAGTGTCTCCACTATGTTGAAAACATTCCTGATAAAAAAACTTGTGGGGTAAGTTCTTCAGTAAGAATAATGCTGCCTGGTAAAGCTATTTTCTAATATAGAATTTAAAACATATCAAATTATTTTGGGGAGAAAATCTTTAAAGGTGAATACTATTAATTAAAAAAGAAAACACATAAAATGGAAGATCAAAAGAGCAGGAGTTAGAATTCATGTTTTAGGGAAAGATGTGCTTTAAAGGGCCAGAGAATGCAAGAGCAGCTTTGCCTCCTTGACAGAGGGATCACAGTGACTTGTAAAGTGAGGGAAATTGGAGCTGCTACCTAGAGTGACCTGCTGGACAAGTGAAAAGTCTGGGCAGTGATGTCCTGAGTTCATGTGTTTTTCTTCTCCGAGGCTAGACTTCCAGGCTCTACACAGTTTGCCTTGGCTAAGAGATGTCAACAGCAAGGCATTCGTTGGTATACATTAATGGGCAGAACTTAAGTATTTCATTCAGACCATCACATGGCTGTGCTAATTCTGAGATAATCCTACTAATGGTCATTCCCATAGCGACACTAGTAATAAAATCTGTTTGGAGTAGTATTGGCCAAGAATTGTGGGAGTTTGAAATAGCTTTTCAGAAGATGAGAAACAGGTGCTAGTGCCAGTGGTTTGTTTTTTTTTGTTTGTTTTTGTTTTTTTTTTTCTCGAGAAGAGGGAGCTTACATTCTCCAGCAGAGATTCTCTTCAAACTAAGCTTGTCATCTAATTAAATTTTTGAAACAACTGCATGCTGGTGCAGGTTTGTTTCATTAACCAGTGTTGCCCTCTGCCAGAGTGAGTGATCTACAGAATTTAATATTCTCTCGTTGTGAAGTGTTATTTTGCCAAGTATGTACACAGCACTGAGCTGTTTTGCAAGTATGTACACAGCACTGAGCTAAGTTTTGCAAGTACCGTCATTGCTGGAAGAGTGACATGTCTTGGGCTTGTTTAGACCAGGTATGATAGCATTAGTACAGAAACAACATATTTTTCAATCTCTAATGAACCCATCTCGAAATTAAAGCTCATTTCCTTAATAGGTTTTACAGTGAGTTAATAGGCTTGCAAATGTCTATTTATCCTCAAACTTTTTCCTCTTGAGGCTTTCTCCAGAGGTGACTAGTGACGTGATTGCTTCTCCTAAGAAGAAATATTCAGAAGAGATGGGAAATCACCGCTATGATATAGTATCTCCAGGTAGCTTGAGGCAAATTCCAAAGTACTTAAAGCAAAAGTTGATCTTGATTTACCTTAAGTAAAGAAGCAGCTTCAGTAAGGGAAGGGTGTTTTGTTAGCACCCTTGTGTTTTTTGGATTCTCTAATGGGAATGCCTTTTGGAGATTTTACCGTTTATTTCTTTTTTCTTCAGTGTTTCAGTGCCTCAAAGCTGCTTACATCTCATGGCATGGGCATCCAGATTCCATTGAACGCCACCGAGTTCAACTATCTCTGCCCAGCCATCATCAATCAGATTGATACTAGATCGTGTCTGATTCATACAACAAGTGAAAAGAAAGCTGAAATCCCTCCAAAGACCTATTCTTTACAAATAGGTAAAATTGCCATTTTTAGGTAAAAATCATTGCCAGTAGATGTATTTATGTTGTGCTTTTTT